ACGTGAGCTGCTGGCTTATTCTGGTACCGCTACCTCTGGTACTGCAACTGTCTATGTTTCTAAGCCTGTGTGTGAAGAATATATGTGCGTCGTTGTTCCAAGCGAAGTGTGAGCTGCTGGCTTATTCTAGTACCGCTACCTCTGGCACTGCAACTGTCTATGTTTCTAAGCCTCGGAGTGCTGTGTATATGTGCATTTCAGTGCCAAGCAAAGTGTGTGAGTGCATTTGTATTATCTGTTCGGGTCAGTAGTGTAAGCACCATTGGTATATGGCACGTTTATATTTGTCTGTGTAGTATTTGCTGAGGTGAAAGTGTTTTACTCAACCGTCCGTATTAATTCTAAACTCCGTGAATGTCAATACATACAATCCAATCGTCATCGATATGTGTCATCAACCCTGCAGCGCTTTCTTATGTATAGAAAGCGCTTAACGCAATCCATATTACAAATCTCAGATGAGAAAATGAACGAGCCAGTGATGCGGAGTGGGCTTGAGCAACGGGTATGTTTACAACTGCAGTCCTGCCTTATGGTCAACCAAGTGTACTGATAACAGTACATCTCTTTGCGGATTTAGATACCATGACGGTGTATATAAACACACACACACACACATATATATATATATATATATATATATATATATATATATATATATATATATATATATATATATGTATGTATATATATATATATATATATATATATATATATATATATATATATATATATATATATATATATATGAATACCTGAGTAGCTGAGTAGCAACTCCCATTCAACCGGTGTCGCCGAGTACTTCGGGGATACTACCTCGTACTGTTTCGAGTTCTTATTTTTCGCAGATGTATTGGCTGTCCCTCTGTCCGGAGGTAATCTGTGCACTGTACAGTATACGCGTGACTATTGCAGTGTCGCACATATCTGTCTAAGCCACAGCCGGTCCCATTGTGTCATGTCAGTCGTTCCGGTCACTATTTGAATAGCCCTGGACATTGGCTGCTGAGCTCATTGTCAAAGTAGGAGTACTAGTCGTCCGTCAGATTTATACCGTCTACTCCTAATTAGAGTGATTTGTTTTGTTGGCTGCTGCACATCCCGCTATGGCTGCTGCACATCCCGCTATTGCTGCTGCACATCCTGCTATTTTTCAAATGTCTCACGCGTAGCCGTTGTGATGCGCTGAAGCCCTCCCCCGTATTCATGCCGCACACCTATGGCACGATGAGTAGCTGATTGCCTGTGCCTATTGTGCGTATCTACGCAATCGTTCTAGGCGTTATATGATATGCACTAGGTGTGACATGGGCTACTCTGCTTCTGGTTCGCCGGATTCAAAGGTTTCGCAACTGGTCTTCATTGGCGCCTGCTTAATTGTCGCGAACATTGAGAACTCTGTTGATTGTGTTTAAACCATTACAGGTGTTGCTGCGGGATATTGACCGCCTGTGTTCGGTGATATTTGCGACATTCGATATCAATAACGACGGCGTGCTGTCGCAATCAGAATTTGTGCACGTTCTGAGCAACTTCCCCTTCCTGGTAGGTGTTTGCTCAACTGAATTATAGAGCTACAGGCACGGTACCCAACATTCACTAGATGTTTTAAACGTATTGCCACGAGTATAGTATTGCATATACGGTATAACGCAGTGCGCCGAGGCGAAATAGACGTAATCGATAGCATAGGTCCGAAGCATTTTTGACAGCTGATTTTGATAGGCAGGCTAGTAGTAGTGTGTGTAGTGCAAGGCATCCGCCTGGGAATGATATGACTCCAGATGACGACAGAACTTCATTTGGTTGGCATGACGGAATACACACCTAAGCTGAATGCGGAGTTAGTCAGGACGTGTATGGTGCATTCTCCCTGTTCTGTGGTGTTTGTTGGTATTCTACGCTTCCAGTCTACACTGCTGTCCTATCAAGTCGGCGATCTGCTTAGCCATAGGTACCTGTCATGGGGTGTAGCTGTTAGCTGTGTGAAATGTGAGGTTGATCTCATATAGTGTGTGTCAGTAGATGGTTGTGGTGATCTGCTTAGCCATAAATACATGCCATGGGGTGTAGCTGTTAGCTGTGTGAAATGTGAGGTTGATCTCATATAGTGTGTGTCAGTAGATGGTTGTGGTGATCTGCTTAGCCTCAGATACATGCCATGGGGTGTAGCTATTAACTGCGAGTAACGTGAGGTTGATCTCGTATGGTGTTTGTCAGTTGATGGTTGTGGCGTGCTACCCGGTCTTGTCAGCATGGCGACTCGAGGCTCTGCACTTGGCGTTGGTTGACGCATGTCGTTCAAGTGCTTTTGTGTCGTTCAAGTGCTTCTGTGTCGTTCAAATGCTTCTGTGTCGTTCAAGTGCTTCTGTATCGTTCAAGTGCTTCTGTGTCGTTCAAGTGCTTCTGTGTCGTTCAAGTGCTTCTGTGTCGTTGCAGGGGTGTCTTGCCTAGTTGCGTTCTTAAGCATATGACCAACGTGGCTACTCACGTGGCTACTCAGGGCTATATAAGTTGTCATTGGTTGTTTTGTGTTGCTAAACTGGCGACTCCAGGCTCTGCACTTTGGCGTTGGTTGACGCATGTCGTTCAAGTGCTTCTGCGTCGTTGCAGGGGTTTCTCGCCTAGTTGCGTTCTTAAGCAGATGACCAACGTGGCTACTCGCATGGCTACTCAAGGCTATATAAGTTGTCATTGGTTGTTTGGTGTTGCTAAACGATGTGCCCATAGTTGGATGCTCCCGAGTTGCTTCAAAAGTACCGGTCCAACACAAAGACCCAAAAAAAATTATACGTTCTGATATTGCTTGGTGGCTCTATTTGAAGTGCTTCCAGTTGTGTGTTACCCAGATGCTTCAGGGCCTACTAGCCGGCTTCGTCCGTTAGTACACTCTGTTGTGTATGTACCATTGAACGCCTGCTTGTGAGTGAGTGCTTGCTGTTCTCGGTCGCGCAGGCCTGGAGGCTTAGCATACGATATGTTATCCTGGTTTGGTCCCGTGTGTCTGTGCTAATATTGCGTTCGTATTCTCCTGTATAGTGCACAGACTCTCTTATCACGAACCCACTCGTAGGGACACTGTGAATGTAATTGGGTGACGCTGTTGTGTTCCTTGTGAGGCGCACGTGCTCCCTACAGATCGAACATCCTATGCAATTCTAGAACATCGTCTGCTTCTGCCACCTTTCTAGGGCAAATTTATAGACTTGGATGCCGATGGCGATGGCTTGATCAATCGAGAGGAGCTGCGACGGTGTCTCTTGAAGGCGACCAATGTGCCAGATGTGCACCACAGCCAGGTACGTGTATTTGATCACTTATCACAGAACCCTAAACCCCGAAACCCCCCTCTACCAGCCCAGATGAGTAGTGTGTGTGGGCTATTTCGGTGTTTAAGCATTGACCCACTTCCGATAGTATGAACATAACACTTCCGGAACACCTGAAGACAAAGCAAACTAACAGTTCACTTTGTCTGTCACATGTTGTTGTCTGGCTCAATCTTCATCCAACGGAACTCCACTGGACGACTGTGCATCGCAGAATCCGGGTATGTTGGCCTGTTTGCCGTTACACTGTAGTGAATGTCTTGAATGCGTATTTTTCCTTTCCCTCTTTGTTGAATGAGGTTTTGTAACGCAGTTGTAGAGATTGATTTGGGCTTGCGACCACGACGTATGCCAGAGTGCAAAGCTGGAGTGAGCTGACGGATCTGTGTCGTTCATGATTATGTTGACCAGTACACATACACCGAGCCGTATTATTCAGGGTAACGCTACGAGTGTTGGTTTGCTGCACTCTAATCGACACCTCTATTATCCTTCTCCTCCTTAACCCCCCGCGCTCAGAACTAATGGAAGTGCACGTAGTCGTCAACGATGACAACCGCTACTACACCGTGAACATTCGTCTGCCCGATGGCAAGATCCACACAGTGATCACGCGATACTCGGCTGTGCTGAGCTTCTACAACGATGCAAAGGAGGGGCGGCTGAGTATTCCCTCGACATTTAAGGTGTGTTCGTCGAGTGCACGAGCCATACGTGGCATCGGGTGGTGGCACGGCTTTGCTCTATCTGTGTCTGGGTTGTGTGTAGAGAAAGATTGGGTGTTAGGTTGTATTGTAGGAGGAGTGTCGTTCTGCCCCACTCCATGGCCTAGTCAGAGGGAGGGTTATGCCTGCCGTAGTCTCATGTTGTGCACCCTTCTCATCAGGTGTTAGCACGGCTTTGCCCTATCTGTGTCTGTGCTGTGTGTAGAGAAAGATTAGGTGCTAGGTTGCATTGTAGGAGGAGTGTCGTTCTGCCCCAGTCCATGGCCTAGTCAGAGGGAGGGCTATGCCTGCCCTAGTCTCATTGTTGTGTACCCTTCCGAAAGGCTGTGGCTGACGAACTGTAGAGAGAGGGAGCATCCGTGGACATTGGGTTTTGTGATTCCTCAATAGTTTATTGGGCGTTGGTTTTGTGGTTACCCGGTAGTTTATTGGGCATTGGTTTTTGTGGTTACCCAGTAGGAGGTCGATATAGCTGTGAAGAGACTGTTGTGCCTTTCGACTAGTAGTAATTCAATAAGGCAACTTTACGACGTATTCTAGGCCATTTATAGTGCGATGCGTCATCGCTCAGCATAGCAGCAGTATAGTGTTTACACCATATATTAAAGACTCGAGTGTGTGAGAAGCTATATGTCGGCTTTAGTAGTAGTTTGCATCGTTTTTGGTACATTAACGGGAAACTTGGCGCCACCACCCCTGCAATAACCCCTCCAATGATAGCGTACCATTGCTTAGCAGAGATCAGTACTACGCATCACCTACCAACACCTTGGATGCTAATGTGTATCGTGTCTGTGATCGTTTATCCAGTTCCCGCCGAAACATTACCTACCCTGTTTACGGGGTAGATATACAGAGCAACGGAAAGAAGCCTTCGCCGAATTGTTTAGGCTCGCATGCAGGTAAATAAGATTTTGTGCTCGGTTCACTTGGACTCGGTTTTTCATTCCGGCTTTCCTATGGCATTTAGTGGCGCTTTCTCAGAAGATAGTCAGTTCGTGTGTATCACATGTATGTCTTTAGTATGTCCGATATTAGTTTGTGCGTGTGTATAGTATCTACATATTCGTATGTCCGAATCATGTCCGAAGTTGATTAGTGTTTGTGTGGTGAACATATGTTTCTTCATGCACATGGAGCAAAAAAATCGCACTGTCCTGATCCGCAGATGATACATGTGAGTCTCTCTCTGTATATAGCACTTAACGCTCCCTACAGCAGTCGACGTGCGGTTGGCTAGGGCGACCTAGTCCTACTGTGTTATGGAGTTATACACTAAAGCACCTTCTGTGAGCATTGAACTATGTCATTCCCTGTTCTTTATCCCTTGCTACAAACCTGTATCGAATCTGCATTGTTGTATCACATATACAATATGACCGGTAGTTCTCGGGCATTTCAAGAGACATTTTATACTCATTCTAATAATCTCACCCTCCAATGTGCACAGCCGAACGGAGAACTTCGCATTCCTGGTATCCCGGGGTTTTCTGCCCAAGACTGTAGTCACTGGACTGCGGAGGAAATCGAGAGTTTTGACGGCGTAGCCACTGCTTAAACATTAGATTATAACAATAAAAGTTTTTTGCGAGGTGGATACGAGTATTAGATTGATCGTACTTCTACTGATAAGAGGATATAGACTCGCATTTATAAAAGTGCGCCACTCGTAGTTTATATAGAACTTTTCTTGCAAATAAAAGTTACCGAGAACGATGCATCGTTCATAACTTGTCTACTACTGATAACACTCCACCTTCAACATGTTGGCTGTATTGACCTCTCTTGTTAGGTGCAAGTAGTTGGATCGCGTGTTGCGCTGTGGGGCCGATTTGGCTCATCACGACTTGTTTATTAAGAGAGTCATCGCTTGTACTTTGCGATGTCTAAAGGAGCCTACCCTTATTCATCTAATTGAAATAAACCCACCTGGTAATCTGAAATACAGAGCTGCTGCAGAGTGCTGGTAAAAGTGACGCTGTGAGTTGTTTCCCCAAATGTGGATACAGAGCCAGTCACTACGCCTTAGAGTTTGGTCTCTAAAAAAGATATTTACATGATCTTCGAGAAAAAAAACTCGATATTTAGCAATGAGTATTTAGAATATGATACGGTCATCTGACATAGCAATAAGATTATCATTCGGAGATAGCATAACTAGCAGGGTTGTCAGTCGCAATGGATTATTCCTGCTGCAACAACCACCTACTATGATACCGCAACTGACAGTTTTCAGGATTTTTGATCGTGCACCAGATTGTACTATTTTCAGTTGTCAAGCGTGTGAGATACTCCCCATAAAACTAACCATGTTGATGATATCAATACAAATGCGGATTGCGGCCCGGTTTTAGTGATAGAGGACCTCTAGTAGGATCTATTGGAATACTTGCTTGATGATCCTCTAACTATATGGTGGAAATAACACGCTGCAGATTCTTCTTTTCAGTTGCGCGAATTATGAAACATTACAATATTATGCCAATGGTAACGCACTTATGTTTGACAGGTTGGGAACAATCAGAGCTCAGTTTGCGTCATTGAAATAGCATCCATGGACGCATTGCCATTGTGACTGTATGTGGGTCTGTGGGATTGACAGTTATTTATGTATGTATGTATGAAACCCTGTAACCGGCTTAGAGGCCTTGACCATTACATATAGTCTTATGTGGCTCCACCAATCAGATCTCTTTAAATATGCAAAGTGCATTCCAGTGAACTTAAACTTTTGCGCGGGCTGTGGCTACAGACTCGTGTTTGCTCATACATAGTTGTTATCTGCCGACAGTCATCAGGAGTCATGTGGCTATATATTGTACCAAGAAGCCGTCACATAAATACACGTAAATACATAGTTACATGTAAATACCATTGTTAGTAATTCACCTAGTAATACGTAGAGATCGTCTTACACAACACACGCCAAGCTGAGTTCCTGGGCTCCGACTGCCTTGTCTGTATTGCACAGTCTATCAGCCCACTACTCGCATCCCCACGTGCGCATCGTCTCAGTCCTTTTGAACCACGTGTACGCCAGGATGCCCAAAAAGATCAGAGTAGGTCCCAATGCTGATCGCTCACTTAATTTCGGCACGTCTAAGATCCAGGCGCCAGCCACTGATTTAACTAGGCTGAGCTTCGATGCAGAGCAGCTTGACATAGATGCACATGTAGATAAGGTTGATGGATATAGGTTAGTGCGCCCGTACTACTATGTTTACAGGGCGTTCTGTAAGGGGAGATGGACCGACCAAACGGTAATTGACACTCTAATAGAAGAATTTAAAGCTGGCACAGAAGAATACTACCGCACGGCTATCAAAGAGGGACGAATAGGTATGGCTGCATTCTTTGTAGTTTTAGGTTTCAACAAGTTTCAGCTACGTTAATTATTTATCTGTCATAGAATGAGAAAATAAGGGACCATATTATGTGTGATAAGAAATCAATCCAGAATTGTTTTTTTACGATATTAGCTTTGAATCCTTGTGTGAGTTTATAATTGAAAACTTAATATGGTTGCTTCAAAAATGGTAGTTTGTGTACAACTAAATTAATTTATGACACAAATATATATGTATATATACATATATGTGTGTGTGTGTGTATGTATGTGTGTGTGTATGTGTTTATATATATATATATATATATACATATATATATATGTATATATATTTATATATATGTGTGTGTGTGCGTGTACGTATATGTATATATATATATATATATGTATATGCATATGTATATGTATATGTTTATGTTTATGTATGTATATATATATATATATATATATATGTGTGTGTGTGTTTGTGTTTGTGTTTGTGTGTGTGTATTCATATATATATATATATATATATATATATATATATATATATATATATATATGATATTCTTCCGGCATGTTAATCATGGATGCTAGCGACGGTCAGTAGACACTAATATAGTCTGTGTGCACATGTAGTCAAGTAGTCATGTCGGGAATACAAATCGAAGTCCTATGCTGTGAAAACAGGCCGCAAGTTGGCACTGAGAGTACCCATAAATGTGTTCACCACGGGAACCATGGTTGCTGACCATATTTCGGTCTACAGACACACCGTATGTGATTGGAGTACAATTATAGGTCATTTATATGGCCTTAGTTTGCCCCATCTCGGTGGATGTTCAATGAGAACAACAAATTACAGCCGATCCTTTCAGAACATTAGATCGGTAAATACGCTTTTTCCATTCACATGAGAACGCATGTGGCTGATACTTATATGAATATATATACATATATATTATATATATATATAGGCATCAATGAACGCCGTACCGAGGCAGAATATCGGATGAAACAGGGCGACCGTCTGGTGCATTGGATCCATCGCCACGAGCCACCGGTGACTGACCAACCAATAGATATCGTACATGAAGATGATGAGGTCATAGTAGTCAATAAACCAGCCAGCATCCCGGTACATCCGTGCGGGAGGTATAGGGTGAATTCTGTGGCATATCTTATGGGATTAGAATCTGGATACCCTGATTTAGGTGTCGTACATAGACTGGATCGGCTGACCTCTGGGATCCTCATCCTTGGCAAAGTATGTATAAGCTGTAGGGTTTATGAATGGGTTTGTACGTGTTTGCACTGTTTAGTGAACATGTTTGTGTGGCCTTTATGAAAATAAGAGTGCCTCTGAGTGAATGAGTGGGACTATAGATAGCTCATTGGCGCGTGTCGGTACTGAAATAACAGTGATTATTGCGCAACTGCTCGTTATATATCGCATAAGCAGACTGTCTGTTTTTACACAAAGTTGCATCGGCTCTTCACGACATGTGATAATGCCCGTATATTCACGCATCCGAGCCATTGCGATGTTGAAAATCAGAGGTCATATGTCTAGAGTGATGGATACCCATACAATGCATACATCCCCATCCGAATGCGCGGTATATCATTTTTTTTCCTCAACATTTCCAATGGAGATTGGCTTAAAAGTTTCAGTCATGAATTTGCTTAAGGTCACATGCCTTGGAAGCTATCGCCGTGTTTCAACACTCGGTTTGATAGTGCACACACTCATGCAATCTCTAACATGCGGTGGTGCATTAACAGATGTGTATATCGCATCTGCACATCGATCACACACTCACGGCCCATCAATACAACGTTGCCTGTTGTACATGCACAATTTCTCAATTACTTCAGTATGGATACGATAGCAGATCTCCGCAAATCGCTATGGCATGCATACGAAATTGACTGTAGTATCATACTTCCAGCGCTCATCTTTTCATATACAAGTTCATTTTTTAAAGGTATATGAGTACATGCGGTTCATTTTATGCCACGCACCCATTCACTCGTCTCTCTGCAGACCACAAAGGTGGCCGCCAAGTATTCCGAGTGGATCCGTGACCGAGATGTGCAGAAGACCTATCTCGCACGGGTAAGGGGTGTGTTCCCGAGTGAGCCCTGTGCGTGTGATCTGAGCACGGGCATGATGCTTAAGCGCATGGGCGTGGTGGGTTGTACGCCCGATGGAAAGCCAGCCCTGACAAACTTTGAGTTGCTGCACACAGATGGGAAGACGAGTGTGGTCAAATGCATGCCCCGCACGGGACGCCAGCACCAGATCAGAGTGCACCTGCAGTATCTGGGTATGGTTTGGAAATAATGGTTGTTTGTGAGACCTTCGAGTTTGTGGTACTGGTGGTACGTGTGCTTGTCGAGGTGCGGCGTATGGTTTCTGAGCCGTACTACAATGATAGTGGCTTGTTGGGCAGGAGAATAGCGGGTCACAGTGTATACTACCTAGTATGCGACCACATTTCGAAATACCTGCATATTATAAAGCATCAATGTGTTACATAAGAGATGTGTACTGTGCATGTATGACGGAGATCGCTGTGATTACTTTCCAATTTGGTTTGCCCTCAGTATCCGAAGATGCTCTATATATTGACCGGGTAGGTTCGTATCGCCAAACAGACCGTATTCAGTACCCCACCAAGTCATTACAAACATATCACAAACCTGCGCACCGTGTCTATCATCGATTATCACCACTAAGCATCTGGTGATATGAATGAGGAATTAAGCAATAGTTTATATCCTAGCTTCTAGTCTGGGAGCGTTTGCATCAGCCATAAACTCAAGTGTCTGTGTTCAATGCTCCATCCCGTGTGCTATATACTCTTTCTCATTCTCATTACTCGCGCAGGATTTCACTTTGAGTGCATGAGAGCGTCCATTAGCACGCCTTCGTAGCAACGTTTCTTCCGCGTGTGATGGTTATCTTTGCTTGACGAATCGTACTATTCATGTGCGATGCCCATCCTTACGCCGAATATCTGAGCTGCATCGCAGATGTTGGCGGGTGCACTTGCCAGTACCAAACTTCTGTATTTCACCAGCATGACCGGAGCGGCAGGCTAAACATGTCTTCGCCTGTGTCACGAGTTGTCTATTGACTCCGGCGCCAATCTCGATACTTATTGCTCCAGGACACCCTATTGTGAATGACCCAATTTACGCACATCCGGCCTTCGGAGATGCGAAAGGCGAGGAGCTAAAGGATCCAGCGCTACTGGAGCGGGTAGATGCGGTATGTGGCAGTCAAGCTTAACGTTCGGTTGTGGGTACTGCTTCGCAGATGGTGCACCCGAACAGGACTTACTGAATATGACAGCCCTCAGAACGGAATGATGTTTTGGGCGATATTAACTTCCAAAAGATTACGTTTTCCGTGTTTGAGGCTGTAATTTTGCCTAAATTGCCATTGATGTGTAAAAACGCCTCCTTTTGAAGTTGTTACTCCCTCGGAAATTATCCCGTTCTGAGTCCTGTCATATTTGGTAGGCCCTGACTTGAGCTGCCGATGACTACCATATGTATCTTTCGAGTTCTTGATAGCATGTGAACTTTTATTCTTGTGTCTTGATAGACATGTGTACGTTTATTCTTGTGTGTCTTGATAGACAAGTGTACGCTTATTCTTGTGTGTCTTGATAGACATGTGTACGTTTATTCTTGTGTGTCTTGATAGACATGTGTACGTTTATTCTTGTTTGTCTTGATAGACATGTGTACGTTTATTCTTGTGTGTCTTGATAGACATGTGTACGTTTATTCTTGTGTGTCTTGATAGACATGTGTACGTTTATTCTTGTGTGTCTTGATAGACATGTGTACGTTTATTCTTGTTTGTCTTGATAGACATGTGTACGTTTATTCTTGTGTGTCTTGATAGACATGTGTACGTTTATTCTTGTGTGTCTTGATAGACATGTGTACGTCTATTCTTGTGTGTCTTGATAGACATGTGTACGTTTATTCTTGTGTGTCTTGATAGACATGTGTACGTTTATTCTTGTGTTTCTTGATAGACATGTGTACGCTTATTCCTGTGTGTCTTGATAGACATGTGTACATTTATTCTTGTGTGTCTTGATAGACATGTGTACGTCTATTCTTGTGTGTCTTGATAGACATGTGTACGTTTATTCTTGTGTGTCTTGATAGACATGTGTACGTTTATTCCTGTGTGTCTTGATAGACATGTGTACATTTATTCTTGTGTGTCTTGATAGACATGTGTACGTCTATTCTTGTTTGTGTGCGTATTTCGTACTTTTATGCGTGTATGTGTATGACGGGTACAGCTTCATCTAACACTCGTGAAGTCATCCTCGTCATCTTCCTCACACGCCAAACAACTACAAATCAGGCTCTACTGGCTGGAGTATTGCGGAACGATGCGCCGCATGAAATTTTCCCACACCAAGGTATACAGCCAAAGACTCCTCAACTGGGGCAGGTACTTCCGGAAGATAAAACCGCCACCGCTTTTATTAAAAGCACAGCGCTAAAATTCAGTGTTAACGCTGAAGAACCGAGCGAATTTGGTTCGACGCTTGCAAGCACAACAGATGGGGCCCCTCTAACGACTGTTGGCCAAGTCGTAGACCTGGAGGGTGTATCTGCTGCAGTGGGAGCGGCGTACACTGCGGAGGATGTGAAGGCGGATGCGGATAAGGAACCGTCGGCGAAACGCACGCACTCGCCCACCAGACCCGACAACGTGGGCTCGCAGAAGAAGTACAAGAAGTCGTACGAAATTATGGTGAGTTGTACCAGTGTATGTTGACACCAGGGTGGTATTCGTCGCGTGTCACGTGTCTTAAAGATGCTATGGCGGGTTTGGTGCTGCTATTTCTTAGCGAAGTTCTAGGACGCCCGGAACGTCACCAATTGGTGTATGGACTGAACTCATTTCCAAGATCACTCTCTAATTATCCGTGCGTAGTAAATACTAAAACAACGGCGCCCAACTCTCTCTTTAAGCTTCATGCATATATTGGTAGAAGTACTTTCCTCTCATCACCCTTATCCAGAATCTGCATTTGCTCCCATTGGAGGCTCAAATAGATTCTCATTGGCTTCTCTGTGTATTTTTTAGTGCGAGTCACAAACCCCCTCACCCATGCCGTGCAATTGTGTAGTAGTTCAGAGCAGTTAATCTCTTTGAGCCCATGGTATTTTCTGAGTGTTGTACTTCCCATGCAGCACTACCACACACATCCATCAAGCGCTGAGTAGCTGCAGTCGCTGGCTAAGAAATACAACCAAGTTCCACCATCCCGGAGTTTCCGTAAACTGCACGTCCTTTCGAGCAGTTCTTCTACTCCCATATTGCTCGCGCTTACCCATATTCTGTCTTTCTGTTTCTCACGCATATGTCCCTAGACCACACCGTTGGCAGCCGACATCGATCCCTACTGTGGCGAGTGCCGCATAGTGCGCCCACGGCCGTCCCCAAGTACAATGGTGCTGTATTTGCACGCGTACAAGTACGAAGGTGATGCGTTCAATTACACAGCTCCTGCCCCCGCGTGGGCGAGTGAGGGGTATACAACCGATGAAGAGAGTAGTACGACAGGCGCTGCTGATAACGGCATAGACAGGGGGCCCAGGCCCGGGGATGCAAGTAGTTATGCTGCCGATGGAGAATCGAAATCAAATACAGGTGAAGATAATAAGCACCTGGACGTGGAGAGTGCTGCCGTCAACCTCGAACCGAAGCAGGAAACCAACGGACTGTAGAATTAACGATTGTTTGCGGTGTCGGAGATTGAAAGTAGGGGAATGGGGCGGGACGTAAGGTGGTGAAGATGAAATTGAGGGACATAGCGAGGCACTGCATGCAGATGAGATCAAGATCGGCGGCTATGTGTAGAATAAATTACCCTCACGACTGATTTGAACTGCTATGATGCTTTGGTCGAATTATCATAGGCACTGATGTTCAAAATGGTACTGTAAATGTGAAACCGTGAAACTTTGGTCGTATTGATCCAAGTATCGTTATAAGCTACTGAGTGTGTGTTGCGCGCATAAAAAGGTATTTACATATTCGACAAATTAGTAAGCCAAAAATAGTTTTATTCCAATTTGCAAACTTAACAATCTAAATGTTATTACATTCTCTCATTTGAATGTGTTGGTTCACCTCCACTACACGTACATGCGTTTCATAATTAGCATTCGCGTGTTTTCCAAGGAACAGTGTCGCCTTGTTCAAAACTCGTCGTTTATACATGCAAGTGCCCTGAGAAGGTGCTTTACTATCCACGGGCTTTCCTCCGGAGCACTTGCACGGAGCCCATTCCTGACAATGTTTCTTATACAGCGTATAGTATGCCCGCCTTGGAATCCGTTTCTACTTGTACGTGCAGGTCTCTTCCTCTATTGGAGCTTCGCACTATTTCAATTTTCCCTCGATAGGCTTCGTCCACTCTGTACAATCGTTTTTCCCTCACACGGCACCATGTCTCCGATCGAGTACTCGTTCTTCTTGTATTGGCATATCCTGGGTATCGCCTGGCATTGCTCCAATTCGCTGTTCTTGACACAGAGACTATGCACCCACTCATCACAGTCTTTACCCGAACATGGGATACACTCGTCATTTTGGTAGTCTAACAATAGGCTACATTGGTCCATTTTTTAAAATCAGAAACAGCACAAGTTATAGTGCCTCCGGATTTGATGCTCCTTCCATCGCAAGCACACTTTTTGTGAGCTCCCCTGCATTCAGTGTCGATACACTTACACACAACCCAGTCTTCTTGTCTTTCATACTATAGCGACATTTCTTGGGAGCTTACTTGCAGGCGGTGAGTCTCTATCCTTGCAGGTGCACTCCGTCCATTCATCGCTGTCCAGCCTAAAAACAGTACCACCACACCTTCTGCATGCTCTTTGCCGTTGTATTAGCATTACTGTGAGGCCTCCGCGTAAACGGTCAAATTACTATTCTTGCACGGGCACTTGGTCCACATATCACAATTGCTATGGTGGCACTTTACCAAGTCTCCTTCACTGTGTCGTTATTTCCATAGTGGGATTTCTTTGGCGTCTTCTGACACTTTTAGTCCGTTGTTCTTCCCATATTTACTTAAGATGGTCCACTTTTTGAAAGCTTTGTCGGTGCGGTGAACCTTTCCTATTTTGTAGTTGTGCGCATTATATGCACATTCTTTGTCTTTGAGTAGATTAAAAACAGATCCTGCGTCTGCTTATCTGACACTGACAGAGTCCGTTTTCGACTTCTCGACGGTAGCCTTGTATATAGTACTCGCCCTTAAACAGGCATACAAGCTTTTCAAATTGGCACGCGCACTTGCCGCGGTTATTGCAATCATAAAATGCGTGCTGAAAGTATCTTTTGTGGCCTTTTTTGAAGTACTCTCCGTCGTATTATCATTGCTGTCCACGGCGCCTACTTCTACCACGCACTAGAAATTAAATCAAGTGGAGCTACACTCCTGGCCTCAGGTATCAGCTTGCCTTCCAAAGAGATCCTTGTGGTGTTTGTACGTATGCAATGGGTGCTGAAGCCTAGATTGATGAAAACAGAGAACTCCATAATTTGTTGGAAGTTGACTTGAATCATCAACTAGGATTTGATATTGACAGTGTAATAGTAAGAACAATTTCATATTATGATAATTTGATTGTATTTAGTGCTAATACTATCTGCTTCACATGGTTGTATTGTGTAGTTCTGACTTGCACGCGAGTTAGCAACATTGGGACACATTCGTACTGTCATAGCTCAAAAATATGTAGCTACAACAAATACGGATAAGTTATCTAGATATCTTTCTTCATTGACACTTTTGGATAAATTCATACGTAGTCATAGTTTGAGAATAAATACCCGTTGTATTGAAGATTTCGCCATTCGCCGTTCAATTTCATACATCGGTTTCTGGCTTCCAAATACGCATGAAGTATCTAGATCTTTTTTCAGCTATAGTTCAATATTACCCAAATTGCCTAATTTGTATAAAAAAAATATGCGAGAAAGTCCGGCTATTTTTCTTGTTTTTAAAAACAAAACAAATACAACTTTTTGGGTGGTCTAAAATATTTCGTTTGTTTTGTTATGTTTAACCCCCCCCCCAACCCCCCCACAAAAAAACAACCTATAATGATAAAAATGAATACTATTTCAAAAAATATTTATTTTTCACGCGGACTCGCGGAGTCTGGTGATAAATTAATTTCTTTTTTAAAAATAAGTACTGTAGTATATACATAAATTCATAAATATGTGAAATTGTATATTTTAAAAATACGTATGTACGTAATTTTAACAAAAAAAAATGGGTTTTTTACAAAGCAATACACCAAAATCAATAGTAGGGCGCAATAAGTAAAAAAATTGAATATTTACATAAATACTGCTCTTAAAAATACAAGCCACAACTCCACAAGGCACAAAGCCCTCCATGCCCTTGATGGTGGCAAATTGTAATATTTATTTACATAAAAATTTATGAATACTGTACTTTTTTAAATACATAGTAAATATATCTAAATGCTTTGGTCTATCGTGGAGTCTTGGTATTTAATTATACATAAATAAATATGTAAAAATAGCCTAAATAATTTGTTTTGTTATTTGGTGTTTGTTTTTATTATTTTAAACCCCCTTTGTATGTATGATACTTACACAATATTTTCTTTTAAAACAAATTTATTCCAACACATCTGGGTCTGGAAGTCTGGATTCTGGTGGCACCAATGAGGCATTGACGCACCATACTTCCTATCAACTATTTATGCCCTATGGGCCTATGCCCAAGCTCAATGCGTTAAAATTTGTAACCTTTATTTTGCCTCGAATAAACATTAAAGTTGTAACTGACATTAAAGTTGTAACTTTTATATCTCAATAGAACACTTTCATATATGTTAGGTACATTTTCCAGGTCACTCAGGTGACAATCGTCACAACTGAAACCCTCAATCTATTTTGATTGCCTTTTCTCAATTTCGTGTGGCCTAAAATTTTCAACGATCGGACACAAATAACTTTGTAGTTGATTTGTCCTAAATAAAAGTTATAACTTTTAATAATCAAAAAGTTAACATTAAAGTTGGAACTTATATTCCGTACCCCTATATTTAACTTGTTGAACTTAGGCCTATGCCCTATGCCCTATGGCCCATGTATTCCATATTTATGGGCTTTGGCCTTTGGAGTTTGGGCCTTATTACTTATCAGGCCCTGTGGCCTGTGGCCTGTGGCCTGTGCACTATTGTCTATTAGGCTATGGTCCTAGAGTCTAACCTCAATAAGTTAAACGTTATAACTTTTATTTATCTAAAAGTTAACGATAGAAATCCAACGTTTATAACTGATAGGTACAGTCAAGATGGTGTCAGATATTTGTCCTGTTGTTGTTAGTGCGCACATTTATCAATATCCCCGCCACTTTCCTGAATAGCCTACAACTTGTAACATATATTTTCTTATGTGCGCGTTCAAAAGCTTCTCCGAGCGGCTCAACGCCTCTCAGAGCTGGCAATATGTGCAAAGTGTACGTGAATATGTAGTATATACTTGGAGAAATGTCTAAAAGATACTTCATAGTTGTTTGTTGTGCACATCATGACAATACGGACCAGGTACTTCGAGGAGACGAAGGTTAACAAAGTGATACACTCAAAATATGGGTATTGCCAAATGTCAAGTCAAATATATGTAGATTCTGATTGGCTATTACCCATTTCATGGCTCAATTTGTTCAAAATAGGACAACTTATCGAGTGCAAATTTGAAAAAAAAAAGATATTTGATTTGTCACAAATAAAAGTTATACTTTTTATTTATCAAAAGGTTACCGTTAAAAATCTAACGTTTACCTCGTGCACGTCTAACTTGTTGACGTTAGGCTTGAGTACATACGGAATTGGAAATTTCAAATTTGGAACCTTGTGTCTCAAGAGTAGATGGCTATTTAGTATTTACTCAAATGTAGCCTTCTAAATTATACATCATGTCAAAAACTCTATACGTCATATTTTCCGACATGTCGGACACGTTTAAAACATACACTATTTTTCGACATGTTTTTATCTTAGACCAGGCCACTATTTACAACAAACATAAATACCTAGCCTTTTAAAGTTCTATTATATTTCAATTTGAATTTATCTATAAGTCACGATGAGAAACATATTTGCATTAATTTATATATATATTATTTGTTCTTGTTTCTTAGATTGTCCATTCATCCTTGTACATAAATCTATAATAAAAAACACAAATAATACAATGTTTGAGTATTGCAGAATTTAGAATACAACAATTTTAATTAGTCAGTTTTACTAAAATCACTCCAAGTGATAAAGTATTGCTAAATACAGAAAAATGGTCAAGTACAGAGTATTAGATCGTATACCAAACAGGTGTTTATTGGACATTGCTAAAACTGCAAAAGCGAATATGGCGTCCGAAAATTCAAAATAAGCGTTATTTATTTATTTTGTCAACATTTATGAAGGAGAAATGAATAGAATCAATAGATCCAACAGTGGAGTTTTGAAGGAATTTAGTTTGTTGTAATACGCAGAGAACTTTAAAAGAAATTATAAATATTTTCAAGCTTTCAGTGGAAGTACACGATTTTGACCGTACTTTATCGTCTTGAATTTATCGAATTACCATAGGAAATACAAGAAGTCATCAAGTATTGGCTTAATCTAAAAAGCTGACATAGTAATATGCACAAGTAGAAGAGGGAGTAAATAGATCGTTCCGCTGTTTGCGATGTTTTGTACACACAACTAAAAACCAAAAAAAAAGACGCATAAAGTTTAAAAAATACATGATACGCTATAGCTTAGGTGCTGACTGCTGATAGCGAGGTTCCTATGTCCTACGAAACTACAACCTTGTAGCAGGTCTTGAAACATTCAACTGATCTGAGTGGGTCCATCAAAATGCTACATGCAAGCCACAAGCTTTTACTTTGAGTATTTAAACTAAACCTCAACGCCGACAAAGACATATACGACAAGCACTGTCAAAATACACCAAAATGTCAGCAATAAACCGGATTCTGCTATTGAGCATTGTATGTCTCGCAATGCACAATACAGAAGTATACGCTAGCAGCTACAAAAACCAGGTAACGTACAAAAGCCCCATTAAGTGTAAGGACTCGTACGTTGATTGTATTAGCCAGCACGAGCTCATCATGTGGAAAGAATGCTGTGCCAAGGGAGACTACTGTCAGGACTGGGTTCCGGATTGCAGTGTTCGTACCTGTTGTGAGAAAATAATCTATGACAAGCCCAAGACTTGTGAGAAGAGCAATGTGAAGTGCACGGCTGGTTTCGAACTCACTGGAGACCAGGAGTGCTGTGGAAAACAGAAGAGCTGTGCACCTGGGGTGAAGACTTGCAATCGCAATACCTGTTGCGAAGAGAAGAAGTACGATCAACCCAAGAAATGTAAGGAGTCTGCTTTATTCTGTCCTAATGGTTTTGAGTTAATTGGAGGTCAGGAGTGTTGTGGAAAACAGAAGAGCTGTGAACCTGGGGTGAACACTTGCAACCGCAATACATGCTGCGAAGAGATAATCTATGACAAGCCCAAGAGGTGTGAGAAAAGCAATGTGAAGTGTAAGGCCGGCTTCGAGTTAATTGGAGGTCAGGAGTGTTGTGGAAAACAGAAGAGCTGTGAACCTGGGGTGAACACTTGCAACCGCAATACATGCTGCGAAGAGATAATCTATGACAAGCCCAAGAGGTGTGAGAAAAGCAATGTGAAGTGTAAGGCCGGCTTCGAGTTAATTGGAGGTCAGGAGTGTTGTGGAAAACAGAAGAGCTGTGAACCTGGGGTGAACACTTGCAACCGCAATACATGCTGCGAAGAGATAATCTATGACAAGCCCAAGAGGTGTGAGAAAAGCAATGTGAAGTGTAAGGCCGGCTTCGAGTTAATTGAAGATCAGGAGTGCTGTGGAGAACAGAAGAGCTGTGCGCCTGGGGTGAAAACTTGCAACCGCAGTACCTGTTGTGAAGAAAAGAAGTACGATCAGCCCAAAAAATGTAAGGAGTCTTCTGTCTCATGTCAGTATGGATTCGAGATGAATGGAAAGCAGGAATGTTGTGGCAAAAATATGAACTGTGAAGACGGTGTCCCAAAGTGCAACAAAAGCATTTGCTGTGACAAGAAGAAATATGAAGAACCCAAAAAGTGCAAAGAAACGAACATCGAATGCGATTATGGCTTCGATTTAGTTGGCAAGGAGGAGTGTTGCGCTGTCAATGGCTACTGCAAGCCTGGAGTGCCCAAGTGCAGTAAGTCCACCTGCTGTGAGAAGCGAAGGTATGACCAGCCGACGAAGTGCAAGGATGATGGTGTTTACTGTGGTTACGGGTACGATCTAATAGGCCATCAGAAGTGTTGTACAAAGGGAGACTACTGTGAGCCTGGTCTGTCAGACTGTGATCGACACACTTGCTGTGAGAAAAAGAAATATGATTTGCCTAAGAAGTGCAAAGACTCATCTGTGAAATGTGGACCTGATTATGATACCACCAATGAAAAGTGTTGCGAGAGAAATGATTATTGCCACCACAGTGTGCCCGAATGTAGCAAGAAAGTGTGCTGTGAGGAGAAGCCGTACTCACGACCTATCAAGTGTGCACATGCTGATGTACACTGTGGGCACGGGAAGACCAACTATCTTCAGAAGTGCTGCGCTGGCAATCATTGCGAACCAGGTGTGCCCAAATGCGACCAGGCCGCCTGCTGTAAGTATACCGGCCCAGTTGACCCGACAGGCAACTATTACAAGTGTGGTGATATCTCATCTCACAAGTGCAGTAATGGATATAAGCATGACACTGCATGCTGCCGGTACTCCAACAAATGTGGCGACTACGCTTCAATCAAGTGTGGCACTTCGCGCTGCTGCAAATAGACGTAATGTGTTTCTCTCTATATGACAATTTCAATTTTGTCGCTGCCAAGAGTTGCAGTCTACATCGAGTTAATGAGACGATCCAAATCGAAATAAAACCTATCTCTACAATTTGATTAGTATACATATTGGCGACGAGCCAAAGCAGGTTCTGAAGAGACTGTGGTTTCTTTTAAATATCGATATGTTTTATGAACCCGCCATCGTAGTTTCAGAAGTATCTTAAACACCAAAGGTGTTGAATAAATATACTGAAAGAACAATCTGCCGCGCGTGGGTGCAGAGCCAACTTAAACCACCCCGTCGGTGTGATCAGAAAGTGAGTGTTTCGCTAAAGAAAGGTAGAATATCGTTCGCATGTACAGGGCATATCAATGACAACACGAAAGAGAAGCCTTCTGAAAAGCACTACTGTTTCCATCTGAAAGTTCTGATACACGTGCTGAGATTAGAAAAATTACATTCCTCTCGATAGACGCCCCTGGTAGAAGCATAAAATTGGAAGGGGGATGGTCAGTAGTCATCAGGGGTGCGGCAATGAAATGATCGCGCGATCTAGACGAAACCTGGTGCGAGCAACACATTCGATTTGAAACTTCATCATAAGGGGTTTATATGAACCGATAAGGTTTATGCCCATGTACTCCAACAGTCGGCCCGGTACCTCTGACTACAGTTAGATGGAGTGACAGAACAATTGAATATCTGGGGCACTGCATGTCTTACTCCGAGAAAGTTCTTCGATGAGCTTTTGTTGATGTGGTCTAGAAAGACCACCTGACCCTATTAAACAGGGGACGCAATATCCTAAAATTTCACATTTGCACTATAGTCTCTTGTCTGATTTTTCGACAGCAATGCAGTGGACTGTAAACAGGTTAAAAAATAAATAGAGAGGCAGTATCTGGTAGAGAGACTAACGACACCCATTCGTGCAGACATGAACTTCACACCGAACGGCTTTCAGGTCAAAGACGACGAGACTAAATGTGGGTTGCTACTTGGTACTCGTCGCGCATTCTTAACCTAGTAGATTTTTGAAATATTGCCCCTTGCAGTGTAGACTACTTTAATGTGTAAGCGCATAATAAATGATATATCTGCGAAGTTCGATACTGTAGCATGCGTCACATATTCACTTCTTTCCGTCTCCAACTTGCCTGGTGATAGGCTCTGAAAAGCGTACGATAATATGGGGCCGACGCAGCGTGGAGCGACCATACTGTACAGCTCGTGTATGCACAGCTGACATCCGAGTGTTGTTTTACATGTGTTTGTGATTGACTCGTACAAATGTGTGATAGGATTTTATTTTTCCGGTAATACATGTGATTTTGTGCTTGCCCGATAGTCTCGAATCCCACAATGTATATTCGCTGACCATTCCCCGCCTTATAATCGGCATGAAGTCCTAATCATTTTGTCCCTGGAAACATGCGATACGCACCCACAGGTCGTGCCTACCCTTTCACGTCCCATTCAGATGGCCAAAAGTGATACAACTCAGCTGCTTCTATACACTCGTGAACCTGCATTGGTCGTGTCTCTAACAGAACAACCCACCAGTCCCTTCTGCTGTGCTACCGTTACGTCCAATCTTTTGATATATTCCCCTGCGGCCGAAGGAGTGACCGTGGATGTGGTAGATAAAAGGACTTGACTCACGCTATGGGCGCCATGATGTCGATGGGAGTCTGCCTTGCTAATGAAATTTAGAGAACCTAATCGGCTTATTAAACTCCCATGACCCGCTCTTTGGGTTTGCCATCATATACACACAGTCCAAACATACACTACTTCAGCGGTGATTCTTCCACGCCAATTTACAGGCTGCGCGCTCTCACCAATCACACGTATATCTACTCGGTGCACACGTGAGGATCAAGCGTCCCAGCGTATGCGAAAGTACGCTGCGTATGCGTGTACGTGTGCGTGCACATGTCCGTGTACGTGTACGTGTACGTGTACGTGTACGTGTACGTGTACGTGTACGTGTACGTGTACGTGTACGTGTACGTGTACGTGTACGTGTACGTGTACGTGTACGTGTACGTGTACGTGTACGTGTACGTGTACGTATACGTGAGCGTGTACATGTATGCGTACGTGTACGTGCATACATGTGAACGTGCGGGAGTGAGGATGGAGTTATGTTGCCTACAACCAGAGGGACATTGCGCCTAGGACCGAGAACCGTCTCAGTAAACTACCTATTTCTTGAAGACAGCGCCGTTGTTGCCTGCGAGCACCACCTTTGTATCCTCGCCCCTGCAATGCACGGGTTCCCCATTAGTGCTACATTTAGATACGATACGTTCTGATAAGAGCTTCCTCTTGTTATGAAAGAATCACTATGCAGCTGTTAACAACAACTGCTACTGCATCTTTTACGCATCTACAGCCCTGAGGTGTGGTAACTTAATGGAAACCGCTATCCCTGAATACTCTCGAGGTAGTTCTGGACGGACACAGTGATAATTCTGGCACGCGCCAAAGATTCTAACGAAATATACATCTTCATGTGAAATTGATCTCAAATCGACATTGAAATATGCAACAACCGACTTAAATCACACTGTATTGTGAATTTTAGTTTCCTAAGTACCATTACACGAGTGTTCGTCGAAAAAAAAATGTCCATCCAAAAGTGTATCTGTACATCAATGGCTTCTCGTGTGCAAGAAGGAGTACACAAAGATACGCATACATGTAAGCTATACGAAAACAAGCGCATTGTCTGCACTCAAACGATCACATGTATATATATATATATATATATATATATATATATATATGTATATATATATATATATTTATATATATGTATGTACATAGATGCACAACACACACCAATACTTACTTAACAGGTATTTGCATATATCCACGATCGCCCGTCTTGGATAGCACCAACACTGGTTTTGACCTGTTGACTATAGTCGAGTCGCCCAGCTGATATCTCGCATTGGCTCCCCATGCGTATGTGTCATCAGTGTCAAGCGTTACACAGACACTCCCTTCACCTATGCACAAGTCCTTGACTGTGATGGCCGTTGTGCTTTGAGATCCCTCATCGTACTGTGTCTGTCAAATCAGGTACAAACGAGAAAATTGAAAACTGGGGTGTCGCTTTGGGATCGGAACTAATTGAAGTGGGTCCGATACGCCCTATCTGCTGTATGAAGCAAAAACTTCGCATCTGTGTCCATTCGGAACCAAGCGCAAATCACACCAGCAGCATCAGAGAAAGTACCGGTCAAATGCATAATGACACGGGTAGTAGGCCCACTAGGTAATATGGATCTCTAAAATGGGTATCGTTTTCATTGTCATATAAAGAATTGGGATCACGAAACTAGGATCATAGATAAATAAATAAATAGGATAACCCACGTGTCGCGAGAATCTGCTGAGCATGAAGTATTAGAGTCCACTCACCAATCCACTGACAGTCTTCACACTGGTCGGAATCCCGACAGCATGGCGATACTGTATGCAGAAGGAAAGCAAATTCCTGGAGTGAGTGTGTGGCGTATAGTCGAGACAATAGTAAAAATTGGAATGAATGTCAATGTTGCTCCAGGCCAATTCTCACGATGGTTTGGTCAGATACACAAGATCAGCATAACCATGAACTGTTGTGATACTTCTGTAAAAGTAAAGGATCAGACGCACCATCTGAAGTAATTTCTATCTCACTCTGATCTCGTCAGCTGTGCTCGACTAGATATCTATGGAATATTTCGATTGCATGCTGGTAGTAACTTTTCTCGCTGATAAAAGCACAAGAACGAGGCTCTAAATAAGCGAACGACGACGCATATGAGTGCACCAACCACTAGAACATGGGCAATATACACGTTCAATTAGATTGGGGTATTACGAGACCCAGAAGATCAAGCAACACGTATGATTCCTCCAAGCGTGCCCATAAAATACTGACGACTAAGATTTCGCGATCAGGGCATTTTGATCACGATATTCATGAAAAATCAATGTATTTGCGTTATAACACTCGCACCTAGGTTTTTCAGCAGCAACCCACACCAACGCCTCACTGCGCTACGAGAGCACGCGATACAACCATAGCTCACTAAAAATTAACTATATACTAAAAATGGGTCATACCTGACTATTCCCTAGTGTGCCACTCAACCCCGAGCCAAACATCTTCAGCACCACACCCTGCGGCGACTGTGACTGCAACACCACGGCGCTACAGTCCCCTCCCGCGGCAATTTTCAGCACCTTGCTATCCCTTGTCCTGTTCCAGATTGAAATGAAAATGATACAATACCTGGTGATCAGCAATTGGAAGTGACAAAGCACTCCAGCCAGGGTGTGCCCGGCGGGTGCTTCGAGTACTTCAATGCTTCACTCAACAGGATGAGCTCATACGACTCCGCAGAGCAATTTGATTTTCATAGGTCTTTAGTGAGGAAATGAACTACAACCACCATTGCCAGATGTTCTGAAAGTGGGAGTACTCCTTGACTACGATGTGTAAGCGACTCAACTGATTCAGGAAGATACCCGATCGCTATATAGTATCCCAGTGACATTTCCAGAAGGTGTCAAGATGTAAGGAAAGTACACATAACGCATGAACCAGGTCGCGTGCATGATGCGCTTTTAAGCGAGAATTGAGGAACTGGCAATCTTCCAATGATCAGGCAGACCTAAAAGATAATGGCTAATATCTACTTCCTACTTCATAACATTCAATGGCTCATCGCCAGATCAAATAAAGACGCATACACTGTGCACATCCGAGTCACACGCATTGTAGTGCAGGCGCCAGGAAATGCAACCAAATATAGCGCACAAAAGTACGGAAGACCGCATAGAGCTGCATCACGTGTCTCATGTTTTCCCTTGCGTACCTGGTATTCGGCCACCAAGGCGTATTGATGCGCGTGGGTAGTGCGGTGTACCCAACTGAGCCCAGATCAAACTCGCCCTGGCCCAACTGCAGCAGGTTATTGTGACCAAACGTCAGTATGTCATTCTTCTCCGTCAGCGCCAAGGTGTGGTTGGACCCGCACGCAACCTCCACTACCTCATCCCCCTCTGCCAGGTCTACTTTATGCCAGACGTCGGCCTTTACTGGCTCGGTGTGACCAAGGCCGAGCTGGCCTAGGCTGTTCCCGGTATCACTGTTGCACAACAGGATAGTTATCATCATAAACACGACTGAGTCTGTGTGGGCGAGCCTTGCAATTAGCACAGAGCGTTCAGGTAAAATTTTGCTAGGCCAAGTAAGAGCGGTTAAGCCAATACGATACATGCAAATATCGGGAAAAAAACTCCATAGACTATGCGGTCGGACCCGAGCTGCCCTTTAATATGCAGCTATTGCTCTACCGACAGAGAGTGCTATTGGGAATTCCACATAAATAAACTACAGACACCAAAAGGTACTACATTGCAGAACGAATATCGCATAATATTGTCGTCACTCCGATAAATTGCGTCGTATACGGTCATGAAATGGCTAACCTGGAAACTAAAATCGTACTGAGCCTCAAACTAGCAGAGTACATGCACTTGACCTTCCAGTATTGCAATGACAAGCAATGTTTGTTTCGTTCGCAATTCCTCCCCTCCCCTCCCCCCTATACACACCTTCATCTCCCACGATCCACTACTTCGCATCAGCTTACCTATATACCATGCCGAACAATTGTCCTTTATTGGTCAAAGCCATAAGGTGCCCCTTTCCACTCGTCAGCTGCACGATTTTTTCCCTCAAGGCTAGACCTTCAGGTTGTGTTACCGTAACGCCTCCGCTGAACCACCCAATGTTCTGAGGATGCTCCACAGCGTCCGTGCTTGCGTTTACCTAAGAGAATAGTGTGGCTACATGCATGAGACTCAGCTATACATATACAGAACACTATCATTAAAAAAAAGCAAGCAACTGCAGGTACATTCCTGTTCACAAAGCATATAGGTGTTGGGTGTAATCGTGCGCGGTTAGATGCTACATGTTATGGTCCAACGGTCATTTGAACACTAGAAAAGCGTTGTTTGTGATGTATGGAAGCTAGTTTTATCTAACAATGCCATCGCAGGCAGCTAATGCGTAGATAGACAGTGTTGTGCCGCCAGCTGTAGAAGAGATAAGCGTAAATTTTCAGGTGTGTATTGTGAGTAGATAGATACGTCCTTGTACTCCCAGCACAGAGCTATGCACCTACACCCTCGCCATATATACAATTTAGCACTATATCACACAGATGACGAGCGAAACGGATAGCATATACAAACAAACAACAAGCTCCTGGTCGTAAGACTACCTTATAGACGTGCCCACCACTTGCTAGGCAGTACAGAGCATCGCCACCGCATGCCATGTCGATCACACCACCACCGCTGACTACGAGACGGGGATCCGACTGGATGGCACCGTCGGCTTCATACAATGCACCCCAGGCGTATACATCTCCCTTCTTGGTTACTGCGGCCGCTTGCCTTTGCCCGAACGTTATGCTCTACGAGAATGAGGGGTGTAATTTGGTTGTTCTGCCCATTAGTGTGAAATGCGCATACAAAATACCCGAACACGTTTTTCAATGCCGTTGATAGGAATCGCACAGTCAGTGGTTGTGGAACTGTTGCGCGAGCATGTTATCAATAACTAATCAATGAAACTCCCATGAAACCACAATGCCAAGTAATCGCAGTCACCAGCACCATGCGATATTAGACTTGACTGTTGGAACGAAGATAAACCGAAAGCGCATCTGCATTTACCTGAACTCCACGCCGGTCAAAGCACGGCACAGCCAAAGGATATGGCGCTCGAATCTCTGCGCAACCAGGCACAGTGAGACCGTCGTTATCACCGAAGCAATACAGTGCGGCCTCTGGCTGTGGCTTGACTGGTACGAAAAACGCATTCTTCGACGATGTCGATCGCATCCGCACGTTGGATGTGCTGTGCTGCTCATCGAGTGTAGCCGGTGCAGAGTCTTGTTTCGCCTCAGATGCCTATTGACACACGAGAAAAGAGGGCAGGTAACGCTATCGTTATCCTACTCTCAAATTACCGGGAACAATATAAAACCTAAAGCGGCAATAGGTATATCCACTGTATGAATATATATGCTTACACACACACATATATATATATATATATATATATATATATGTGTGTGTGTGTGTGTGTGTGTTGTGTGTGTGTGTGTGTGTGTGTGTGTGTGTGTATATATATATATATACATAAATACACATATTATATATATATTATATATATACATACATATATATATATATATATAATTATATCACTTGTAAAGTTTGGCAAGTCATGCGTAGGATTGATAATCTCGTTGTAGATGACTGGAGCATTGATATATTACATCACTGATATTCCAATACCTGTATGAAAGGCGAAAGAAGCGCGGCCCCAATGCAAACACCAAGGGCAAGTCTGATCCGATGACCGCTACCGTGTTGCTGCCGGACACTCGAAAGGGAGCCTACATCTCTAATGAATTTCATTACCGGTCCAGGCCCATACTTTGTTGGCATGATAAGGCCTTGTCGTCTCTGTGACTGTAAGAAATCCATGACTTAGATATGTTATCGATAGCATCAAAAACACAGCTTCTATCCGTGATGGGTAGTGCATAGCGTTTTGATATATATTTAAAGTCGCAATTATGTACAGTACTTGCTTTTTAAATTTACACGATGACTTGACCGCAAGAAGCAATAGAGGTCAGGATTCCCCTGACGGCCTGACCCCACAGACTCACTGGGACATACATTTTTTTTTTCAAAACAAAATTTTAGAAGTGCCTGTACAGTCACGACAGTGTCTGTATAATAAGTACAAAAGTACATTTATGGATGTATTTATGTCCTGGAAATGTCGTTACATATACTCGAGGACTCTCTTGAGTGTCTCTCTAATAAATAGACTCGCACTACTACTAAATAGACTCGCACTACTACTAAATAGACTCGCACTACTACTAAATAGACTCGCACTACTACTTAATAGACTCGCACTACATGCACTCTCTCTCTATTTATTTATTTGGAGAGAGCGTCTATTCATTTATTTGTGTTTAAAATAAATAGGAGTGTGTAATCTATCGGTCGCCAGTACATGTCCCACACAGACATAAAACTGGTGCGTACGTGGAACTTCCCAATCTTTCTCACTCAGCAGCAAGTAAAGTGGCGAATTGTAGTACAATCCAGGAGTAGGTAATCATGATTTTTCAAAATAGTCTAGGCTCGGAATATCCACACACGCACTGGGCAGCATATTGGGGTAAAGTGCACTAGGAGCCACTGGTTTTAGAACCTCTCCCAATGTTCCATCCTTCTTTTGGTCACTCAAGATATCTGTCAGTTTAAACAGCGTGTCCAATTGGTCATCAAGTCGCATGTGGGAGGATGCGAACTCGTGCCCATTTAACGTTATATTCAGCAACTGCTCCTGCATATCAGCCAGTAACCACCGCCTACCAACAGCATCCAGTGTGGCCACAGTCGCTGAGATGTAGTGCACATTCGCAAGCATCCCAATCTTGTGCAAATACGGCTCCATATACTCATCCATAATCAGGGCTGTTCCACTGGCCATGATCTCGAATGTCTTGGCCAGCAAGTAGGGCCGGTCTTTGTCCTGAGGACAGGTGCCACCCAGAGCCAACTTATACTTGCCGATGTGATCTGCATATGCTGATGCTTGTTCGCGTGCATGCCCTCCTATGTAGCCCATATGCTCACGCCTCTCAAATACATCGGATTGGTCTGCTATCAGCTCTACCGCCTTCGCTCTCAAAGGGTACCACTCTACACCTGAGGCACCGGAGACAAGCACCCTGTTCCATTTCTGATTAAAGTGTTTCACTATACCTCCCGTGTTTCGTGTATAGAACACATCTGCGGCGGTTTGGTAGTAATTGTAGCAGGGTTTCGTTTGGGTGTGGTTGAAGACAAAGTTTGTGAGGGCTTCCGGATATCGTGGAAGGTTCAAGTCGACCCATGCCTGTGCATCTCTCGCCGGTCTAATAGCCGAGTCAAAGTTTAAATCCTCAGATATCATTACCTTTATTGCGTTGTGTTCCGCTGCATCTCTCCAGAACTCGATAAAGTATGCAGGTACCATGTACAACAACACATGTGTAACCTCCTTTGGGATGGTATCTGAAAGCGCCAAGTCTTCGTAGTATATCACCTGGAATCCCTCCTCCCTCGCACGTTCTATGTACCGATGGAAGAAGTATATAGGCGAGTCTGCGACCATCTTCAAAGTGAAGAAAGCCTTCTTGGAGGTGAATTGGTATGGCTTGGTGTGGCTTAACTCTTGCGAATTTGTTTCTATAATAGTAGAGCTACCAATTTCATGCTGCTTCAGTGAAGCGATACATACTGTATACAGAAATACAACGCCCAAAAAGCGCAGTGCCAACAAAACTGCCGCTTTTGAGATCATATTATCGTCTATGTGTATGTGTGTGCGTTTGAGTAGGACGATCGACCAGCCTTCACGACATACAATGATTGGGTAAGATTCTATAGTAACTTGATGTAAACACAGTCCACCGAAATATTCTAAAGGAATTGGTTTGATGTGTACTTGCATACATTTGTGAAACCTGCGTTTCCAACGTTGTTTTTTGTGTGTCTCTAGATGTATCTCTTATTAAAATCAATCACTTGCACAATCGCTCCTAAGACTTTGGGGCGACAAATTTGCTGATATGGTTGTGCGCAAACCTGCATATATTCCGAGCTGCAATACAATGGTGTGCCCCCATATAGAGACGTACGCCGCTAATAGCTATTTCATTAGTTGTGATGGATTGCACAAATACTTCACAAACATGTGGTGTATATCATACCGCTATATAACTTTTTGCGCTATCCGTTCTTCGTCAAACATCTTGCGGCGTAAGCGCTGAACCATACACACGGTGCAAAACTGCAATGCGATATCGTGCATATATACGATTATTATCTATGTTTAAAAAGAGTTTATATTATATATATGTACCTGTCATAATTTTAACGTGACTTTGATTTTTTGGATATACCATAGGAGCGAGCACTTTAGCGAGCTATTTTAATTAATTTGATTGAGGCAAAGGGAGAAAAAGGAAGAGGGCGTATCCATTCTCACTTATTCCATTCGACAAATAAATATCAAATGTTTTGACACATGTTTCTCAGTTTCTGTTGTTTGATGTTTCACAAGTATTTAAATTTATAACAAATTGATCGTCAAATCAGACAAATCCTCTTGTTGACTGTTGACCTGTCACAGGCTGTCAGCTGTTGCCCGCCCGTTGACACTTGACAGTATGTATGTATATATACCTATTTTTTTTCAACAAAACCCAAACAAAATATTTAGACGAAGGCAATATAATCAACAATAGTACTACACACAAAAATACTCTCTTGTAAATATTCATTTCACACCACCCAAAAATTTGGAAAAGAACTTCATGGCGACAAAGACCGACGCGTAGCGATCCATTCGGTATGCCTATATCTCATATATTATGACGGACCTGACTATCTCAATTTCGATCCTGAAATCCACAACGCAAGTAATGGCATCAACCGCGCATCAACTCTCGTCCTTCAACAACACAGTACACACGAAAAGTCAAACTGAATGGCAGCAAGTCGAGCAAATAAAAATAAGTTACAAAAAAAATTTGAACGTATACACATTAAATATATCTATATCTATATCCATATACATATATATATATATATATATATATATATATATATATATATATATATATATATATATCTATCTATCTATCTATCTATCTATCTATATATATATATATATATATACTACGTACAAACACACACGCGACACGCACACACACACACAC